CATTCGTCTGTGAAATCCTGATATTAGACCCTAAAACCCTAGACTTACACGTCATCGCATACTTACTGGTGGGGTCGTACATCTCAGTACAATTAGTCAATCGACAGCCAAACAACGCCGACTGTGGATCCTTGACAGTACTATTGACACCCTCTGCGTCCGTTCGCAACTCTCTGTTGCCTGGATACTGAACCGTCCCCGTGCCCACGTGTGCACCAGTCTGTTGTCCCTGGGGTTCAACAATCCGGGTGTCTTTGGCCCCCAAATAGACCCCCCTTTCGCGGCGGTTGGCCGTTTGATTGCGCATGTCGCGTATGAGAGAGAACGACGCAGAGATCACATCCTCGGGCGAACGGTTGAGCTGCACCACCACGTGCGCCGGAGTGCCCTTGAGCAAAGCATGCAGGATGGGGTCTGTAGAGGTAAGAGATGGGTATGTAGCAACGGATGTACGTGATAAATACATCTGTGTATGAGTGTGTAGGGACGGATGTTTGTTATAAGTGGATCTATGTATATGTATGCAGGGATGGATATAAGCTCTAGGTGTATCTATGTATGAGCATGTAGGGATGGATGTAAGTGATAAGTGTATCTATGAATGTGTATGTAGGGATGGATATAAGCACTAGGTGTATCTATGTACGTATATATATCGTACAAGGCAGGTAACATGCATAGGGATGATATAGATTTGAATTATATCAATGTATGTATATGTAAGGACGTATATGAGCTCTAAGTGTATCTATGTATGTATATGTATCGCACATGGCTTGACCTATAGTAGTACTTGTAGAATGAAGTCAGCAGGTCGGGTAGTGTAGGAGTTATATATAGTCCTGAATGTACACAAGTACAACATATATCTGAAAACGTGCGTTGTAAGTAGATGAAATGTGTGTGAGCGAGAGAGAGTGATCATTGCTCACAAGCTATGGTGTGTTGTAATGTTGCACCACAGTATGTTCTGATGTGCCTTGGAGGAGTGCTTGCAAGATTAAGTCTGTGCACGCAGATGGATGTTTAGGATAAACAATAAGTTGATTATATATTAGAAGTACATCTACCGCATATATGTACGCAGATGGATGTTTAGGTATGAACAGTTAAGTTGAGTGCAAGTACTATGCTAGTTAATGTATCGCACACAGAGTGTCCCTTTTGTTGCCTGGCGAATATGAATGCAAACGACGTAAGGAT